ATGTTATGTTATGTTATGTTATGTTATGTTATGTTATGTTATGTTATTAATGCGTGTATCTCTCTCTCTCTCTCTCTCTAATCTACCAGTATCTCTCTCTTCATTTATTTATCATTATTTATAAATTATTATTTATCAATTATATATATGTGTGTGTGTCTGTATGTGTATATGTATATATAATTTATATATGTATATGTAAACTGCATGTGTGTGTATAATATATATATATAACATGTATATTATATATATTATAATGTGTACACACACACACACACACATATATAATATAATATATTGCATTTTATTGTGTTATGTGTGTTATGTTATGTTCTGCTGTGCTGTGCTATATTTTGTGTTTTGTTTTGTTTTTTTGTATTAAAATCAAATTGTATCTTGATCTTGGCATATTTTATATTATTTTATTTACAGGCAGTCCTCAAGCACAACTTAGCCCAAGATTTCTGTTGCTAAGTGAAACCGTTCTTAAGCAGGTTCCCCCCCTTCCCATTTTACGACCTTCCTTGCCGCAGTTGCTAAGTGAATCGAGTTCTTAAATTAGTCAAAACTGTTGTTTTAAGTGGATCTTGAAAACTGTGACTGGCGACCATTTTTCACACTGGACAATTGTTGTCGAGTCTACACCAGAGGACTCCAAACTTGGCAACTTTAAGACTTGTGGACTTCAGCTCCCAGAATTTGGAAAATGGTCTCAAAATAAGTCGTGCCCCCCCCGCTTCCCACTGCCCTGGGAGGATTATCACTCATAAGCCGCCATCTTCCCTTCCCTCCTCTCCTCTGCCTCCTTCTCCAGGTCTGTCACCACGCCAAATGTGAGCAGCTCAACCACCACGGCCCTCTGCACTTGTGTGAGGAGTGTGACGGGCAGATCCACAGGGCGATGCACTTTGACCGACATATCCGCTTCGACCTTCCACCTCCAGGTGACCGCCCGAGGCTCCCTGGGCCAGAGCTGGGCCTGGTCCTCTCACCCACAGCACCCTTTCTTTTAAGTGGTTTTAAGGGACAAAAGAGAGCAGTTTCTCAACCCATCCGCCCAGAATCGTAAATTTACGAGATGGGCAGCGAATAAATTCAACAAATAAATAAACCTTGGGTGCTTTGAGACTTCAACTCCCAGAATCCCCCAGAAAGATTGCAGAGGGAGGGATTATAAAGAGAGTAAGCAGGTATGCGCATCAAAAGATTCCTTTATCATTTTTATTATTATTTTATTTTGTTATTTATTTTATTACTATTGTTCCTTTAGCATTATCACCAGGGAATTCTGGGAGTTGAAGTCCGTCCATCTTAAGGTAGGGAAGGTTGAGCAACACTGATGTAGAGATGCCAGTTTATATGATGCAGGATTTGCACCTGATGCAGACTTCTGCCTATGCCTCGGAAGACACGAACCACCGTTCGTGGCACCTGAAAGCCTTTCTAGGAATAAAATAAAAGAGCATCAAAAGACATGTGGCCGGATAGGGAATCTCTCCAAGGGAGGAGGAATGTGTGAACGGGACTCCCGAGTCCCAATGCAGGGACTAACTTCCCCATAACTCTTTGTCTTCAGGGTCTATCCTGGCACGTAACGTCTCCACCCGGTCCTGCCCGCCACGCACTAGCCCGGCCTCCGATGTGGAAGAGGATGGCGAGCCATTGATTGACGGGAGAGGGTGAGTGTAGAGAAGAGCCATTCAGCCAACATCCCCACGCTTCAGAAAGCTAGCTTGTCAGCGTCTCATTTCCTGGAGAGCTAGCTTTCAGAAGGAATGGAAAGATCTTGGGGGGGGAACGGGACCCCATATTCTTTTTCACCCCTGTTTTGGGAGGAACAGCCAGGTGGTGTGATGACCCAGGGTGGAGATCCCAAACAAACACAGTCTTTCACTTTGCTTCCAAGCTCTGAATATCCTTGATGGGAGACAAAAAATTCCCACACAAACAGTTACACGAAGAAGGAAAAAAGCAACACAAACCAGGCAAGATAAGGGCTGGAGGACGTCCACAGATAACAGAACACACACTGGGAAGGATGCCAAATGCAGAGAGGAACCATAAACCAGAGATATTTCCACGCTTTGTTTCCAGCATTGGCCCATACGCATGTCCATCCTCTTAGCCAGTTGTCACAGCTGCAGCCCATGAAGGGGATCAAGGCCCTTTCCTCCCCCATAGACCATGCCATTCACATTTCTCCCTTCTCGTCTCCTCCCTGCGTGCCCTAGGATGGAGAGCGGGTGGGCCTGGGTCCTCATCTGACTGTTCAGCCGGCCTCTGCCCTTCCCCAGCCTCCTCCACAACCTCGAAGCCACACCTCCACCCCCTGTCGGCTGTTCCTCCTCTCCCTCGGAGTCAGTCTCCAACAGGGGCATGACAGGTGGGCAGAGACAGGCTGTGTTTTGTAACCCCAATTTTGTTTTCTCCCTCGTTTCTTGCAGAGAAAAACGAAATTTAGTTCGGAAGCCCAAGAAAGGAACAAGGCGGCACACGGACGTAAGGCTTCGATCGTATCTTGCTTCTATCCAGAATCTATCTAGGTGGTCCTCAACGGCTCAACCGCTTAGCCACATTTGAACGGGATCCAGAGGCCCAACTGCAGCTCTCGCAAGATTGTCAAATCGATAGGACCCCTTCAGAGGTCATCCAGTCCAACCCCCTTGCTCAGACCGATTCTTCCTCCTGTAACGGCCGTCGCCCATCAACCAGATGAACAGGGGAATCTTTCAGCTTCCGAGTCGCCTATAAAAAAAAGGCAGATCGTTTTAAATTTAAATCCACGCTGAATCCTTGTTCCTCAAAGTGGGATGCTGTGAGGCGGGTGGACTTCAACTCCCAGAATTCCCCCAGCCAGCTGGGGGAATTCTGGGAGTTGTAGTTCACCCCGTCTTAAAGGGACCACGTTCGCAAAACACTCTGCTATAAACAAATCTGTGGAGACATCATCTTTTTTGTTTTTTTAAAGAAAACTACTTTAAAAACCCACCTATAAAATACGTTAAAAACCCTAACTCGCCAACTTTTTTGTTTTTAAAAAAAACATATTATATTTATGTTTCTTCTTCAGGATCCCAGCAGGGAATATTTCACTCTGAAATTTGATTTGAACGTGGACGTCGAAACGGAGATCGCCCCAGCAATGAAGAAGAAATCTTTAGGGTGAGACCAGTTTCCGTGTGGGTGCAGGTCCCTGTCAAATATTTCCCAATGATTCTACAGCTAGTCCTCAACTTAGCGACCGTTCAAACTTACAACGGCACTGCAGGGGAAAAAAGGGGGAGTTTGCACCGTTTTTCACACTTAACGACTGCAGCATCCCCACCATCATGGGATAAAAATTCGGACAGTTGCCAACCGACTCACGTTTACGACAGTCTCAGTGAGCCCCTTTGGTGACCTTTGACCGACAGGCAAACCTCCACAGGAAAGCTGGGTTCACTTTATGACCTTGTTACTAACTTAACGACGGCAGTAATGACACTCAGCCACGGGGAGAAAGCAAAACAGGTCGTAAATTGAGATGCAATTTGCTCAACAGATTGGCCTTGTGGAAATTTTGGCCCCAGTTGCCGTCGTAAGTCAAGGAACTGCCTGCACATTTCCTGCATAAAATAAATATTTATTTGCCGACCATCTCCTATCAAAATGACTCTAATTAGTTGATTAACGGTGGATAAAAATATGCATCCATTACTTAATAAATCGGCAATAAGTAGAATTAATACATTCATACATTTCAAGTAATAATTCAAAAATGCACATTTTCAGACGGGAGTTTGAGCCTGATCTTCTCTGGGGGTGGATACCGGCCTGTTGAGCGCTGCCCCCTGTTGAATTTTGGCCTGGTTTCCTTTTTTTTTTCTTTTTCCGCCATTTGAACAACGCAGGGAGGTTTTGTTTCCGGTCTTCGAACGGAAAGGCATCGACCTGTCGAAAGTAAACATTTACCTGGACCAGTCTAACACTCCGCTCTCGCTCAACTTCGAAGCCTATCACTTCGGAGGACATTACCTGCGGGTGAAAGGTAAAACACTGGGATTTGATCCACCTTAGTGACGGGTTGCTCAGGCTGGGCGTCCAACTCCAAGAATTCCCCAGCCAGAATTGCGGGAGTTGAATTCCGCCCAACTTCCAAGTCTTGACAAAAGTTTGCTTTACGAAAGGGAGGAAAAAATCAAGCTGGACGTTTTCCTGGGCGTGGCGAAACTGACTAGATCACGTTCCTGTTTGCCGACACCACCGCCGCCACCACCCCCAAAATTGGAAAATATCCAGACGGCAGGAGAGAAACGATGGCTTGACAGCCCATTTCTGGACAGAGGGATGTCGCCAAGGGCTGCCGATCATCATTTCTCTCCCGCCGCCTCGATGTTTCCCCGTTTTTGCCCAAACAGGCACGTGATCTAGTCAGTTTCACCATGCCGGAAGAAACGATGTCACTACAGTATTGAATTATTTCCACCTGAGATGGATCCAGAGGGCACCTGCTTGGAGAACGGAGTAGGATGGGGACCCAAATTAGGCCGCTAATAAGTGGTTCAACGTAAACCGCGTTTCCCCCCCCCCCCTCTGTTTCAGCCAAACCAGGGAACGATCTCAAGGTGGAAGACGGGGTGAAGGACAGCAAATCTTTGAGTTTGCCCATCCTGCGCCCAGCGGGCATCAGCCCCTCCTTCCTTGCCACCCCGTCTTTGGATCGGCTGGAGCAAATCTCCCTTCGCCGCGAGAGCACAGATGTTGGGGTGAGTTGGGGGACAGGGGTGGGGTGGCTCCCCATGTCCAGAAGCAGAGGGATCGGGGACTGGGAGAAGGAGCTGCATTCAAGGCTGCTGTCTGGGGAACGGACTACCTTGTCTGGACGTTGTTCCCTTATCAGGCCGAGATCTACCCAACATTTCAGGAGTTAGAAGTCCAGCTCAGGTTGCCAAGGTTAACAAATTGCTCTACCAGCGAGCAAAAATAAGCTGGAAATTTCTACCAACGTGGTGAAACTGACTAGGTCACGTTTCAGATTATCACATTCGGTCCCAAGTTGGAAAATAACAAAATGGTGGGAGAGAAACCATGGGTTGCAGTAATCCGTTTAGCTTCGTTGGAAAGAGAGCAAGGAGGGTGAGCCATACGGGTAGTCCTCGTTTTACGACGGTTCCTTCAGCGGCCGTGACAGAAATGGACGTGCTGGTTGAACTTGGCTTCTACCTGAGAGAAAAACCTTCTTTGTACTGAACAAACCAGGATGACATCGCTTCTCCCCTTGTGGACTTTAGAGCAGGAACCAGACCAGAAAGGAAGGTTGTTCTTTATGCCTATTTATTACCGCCAGCCAGCAGGTGGCAGCACACAACCAACTTTGGCAGGAAGTGGATTAATGCTGGGATGGAAGACCAATGGGAGATCCCTGAATTGAGAACCAGGCTAGGAGGTTAAAAGAAAGCCATGACAATTCAATTCCGTAGGATTACTCAAATGGATGATGGGCCCCAGAGTTCAACTCGAGAGAGCTGATGTAGTTTTGCTTTGAATTTAAATTTGATTTGATTTTTATTATATATTTGATTTGAGTTTTTAGTTTGTTTGATTTTAATTTGACTTTATATTTTATTTTCAATTTATATTGGATTTGAGTCTTAATTTATATTAATTTTATTTTTAATTTATATTTTTTTTCATTTCATTTTTAGTATATTTAAATTTATCTTTATTTTATATTTAACATCTTTAATTGTATCTTTTATTTATATTTAACTAATATTTAATTTTATTTTTATTGACTTTAAATTTATTTTATATTTAACTAATATTTAACTAATATTTTACTTCTATATTGTATCTAATTTTATTTTTCACTTGTTTTTCATTTATGCTTACTTTTATTTTTAACCTTTGTTTTTGATTCAGATTTAGTATTTTATTTTATTTTAAAACCAGAGCTTTTTGCTTGCCCTCTTGCTAGAACTCCCGATGACCTACAACATTTTGGGGCTGGGCTTAAATATTACAGTTCAGCCTATTGTCTACTTCAGAAGTTGAAGTCCACAAGTCTTAAAGTTGCCGAGTTTGGGGGCCTCTGGTCTACTTACTTAAAAGACTTCTGATTATTTGTGATTCAAGCCAAAAGGACGAAAATTACAATCTAGTGCAAGAGAAAGAGAAAAATTCAGAAGTTATTTGTCGTTGCCTCTTAGGTGAGCCTATTTAGTTCCTATAATTTGGACAGTAAATAAATTCTTTGATTGATTGATGGGCGTATATCAGATCCCTGTGGCTGCTCCAGATCCTGACCTTTGGAGTCGATTATAAGTGCCAACACCTTGCCAGCCTGGTGCCCATTTGCAAATCTGTACTCCGCCTGCATCCACCGGGTCTTTGCAAGGCCAGACGTCTCGTAGTCTTGCAGCCGAGCTACTCTACTCTGTCTCTACTCTGTCGGGTGCCTTTTTGAGTAAAACAAGGGTGCTAAAACCCATCACCCTCCCCACTTAAAGATCTTTTGGGTTCTCCCCCTCGGCTGAGTTCGAATTCAGAGATCAAGGGTGCAACTTTCAAAAAGGCCCGTTTGCTTTCCACTTCGTTGGACTCTGGAAATATAAATCCCTTCGTCGAAAATCATACGGGATTAAAAGGACCCGGCCATGTTTGGGCCCAAGTGGAGGAGGTGGGACCTTCCAACCCACAGCGAGTGGCCGGTGCTGCATTGCGCCCGTTTCCAACACCTACTGGACGAGCCCTTCGGCCGGGAGCTGACTGTGGCGCCGGGGTTTGTCGCCGCTCGAATTCAGCTCTACAATTCTCAATCTGAGATTTCTGGAGTTTCTTCCCGGCGAGGAAAACCAAGCAGGGATTTTTGTCATGGCACCAAAGAAGCCGGTCAGAGTGAGCCCGGGGGACAAGGGTGTCCGGCCCAGAACAATTGGCACGGTCAGCCTGGAGGTTGGACATCCAAACAGTATGTAAGTCTGTTATTTCTGGGACCGTTAAGCCCTAAAAGGGATCGGAAACCTGAGTTGGCTTAGTGCAGCAGAACCCGGGTGTTGTGAAGCTGCCGCAAGCTTAACCGACATTAAACCAGCTTTGTGTGGCGCAGGGAATGCTGCGGCTGCTAGGTTTTTCAGTGAGCTGGTCTCGAGTGTTGTGTGAACCCAACTCTCCTGTTCTCTTTCTTTCCTTTCTTCTGCCCTCCCATTTTCTTTCTTTTTCTTCCCTCCTTTCCTCTCCTTTCATTTCCTTTCTTCCTTCTCATTCACTCATCCACCCAATTTTTTCAACCAATTTTGGGTGCCTGACAATCAAAACTTAAAAGACACATCAAATCATCTTAAAACTATAAAACTCAAGCTGATGAAAACGTGACTTTATTTTATTTTATGGTCCCTTCCAAAACCTGGTGATTTTTTTTTAGGGTTCTTTGCTTTCTTTTCGGGCCTTTTTCCCTCCCTCCCTCCCTCTCTCTCTTTCTCTCCCTCCCTCCCTCTCTCTCCCCCTCCCTCCCTCCCTCTCTCTCTCTCTCTCTCTCTCTCTCTGCCCCTATGATCTAATTTTTATTTTCTTTGTGTCAGAGAGCATAGTTTGTTCCGTTTGCTTTATGGCTCTTTTAGATAAACACAGATGGTTTTACAACCTTCAACCTGTCGGTTATATCACTTTATGGTTCTTTGAATCCCTGGAGTTCTGAATACAGGATAACAGAGTCAGAAGGGGCCTTGGAGGTCCTCTAGTCCAACTCCAACGACACTGAAACAAGGACTGGGTTTTTTCACACTGACGACCATTGCAGCATTCCCGTGTCACGTGATCAAAATCCAGGCACTGACTCACATTTATGACGGTCTCTGGCGACCTTCCGACAGGCAAAGTCAACAGGGAAGCCGGATCCACTTAACAACCATGTTCCTAACTTATCAACTGCAGTGATTTGCTTAACAACCGTGGCAAGAAAGTCCACAAAACTCACTTAACAACGGTCTGGCCTTCGCAGCAGAAATTTCAAGCTCCGTTGTGGTTGTAAACGCGAGGACTCGCCGTCAAGCTTTGCCTTGGAAATAAAGGGAAATTTTCTCTGGAGAGGACTTCAACTATAATATAAATGCTATTATGATGTATAATATACACTTTTTGGAAAGAAATGTTTATGTACTTAAGTAAAGTTTAAATCGTTGAATATAGGCAGAATTGTAACTTATAACAATACTATTTTTTTAGATACAGATTCCTGGTTACTTGAATAATATTTACATTAGATAAGTTATAGGCAGTATAACTCTTGTAACAATATTATTTTTTCGTAAGAAACGAAATTTTTGTGCTTGAATAATATTTACGTTGGATAACTATAGACAGAACTGTTATAACAATATTACATTTTGGTTCTTTTTCTGCTGTGTGCCTCCTTTTACACTTTTCTTTTATAAATACACTTCTCCTGCGTTTATTTTTTTCTTTTCTTTTGCACAAATGCATTACGAGTATTCCTTTTTTAAAAAAAAATCTTTTTCTTTGTTCTTGCTTTAAAGCCAATCAATCAACAGAACGCTGGGGGGAAAAACGTGTTGGATTAATTAATAAAAATGTAAGATGCGGGTGTCTAACTTGAAAGGCTGTAACGCACTAGCCACAATCGTGGGTTGAAAGGAAAGCTTAGCAAAAGAGGGGGACATTTTTTTCTCCCAAGCATCCGAACAACAAACCAACAATGATGGTTTGAGCCTCTGCTCCGATTTGCAAGAGATGCAGTTACCCAGATTGGAAGTTCGAGAGATAGATAGATAGATAGATGATAGATAGATAGATAGATAGATAGATAGATAGATAGATAGATAGATAGATAGATA